TTACATCATCTGAGCTGCAGTCAGTTGGAAAGTAGACAGAGACGACGAAGAGTCTCCCTATCTTTCCGAGTCCTTACTGTTCCGTTTAGTCGGACAGCGCACAAACGACTGTCTACTGGGATCCAGTTTAAGAGAGCTAGTTCTGCCCTAGGACTCAATGCTATACCTACGCCAGCGAGGCCACGGGAAGCAGCATCAGGGTTTCCAGATACACGAAGCGTGAATCGAGTTGGTTCTGTATTTTGATATGGTGAGGTCAAATGAATGACGCTACTTGGATGCTGTATGTGCGTTTCGGAGACGCACGGCCTTTTTGTGGAAGGTTTTTAAGGTGTTAGCTCCGTTCTTCAAAAGGCCTTACCGCCGGAGACAGAAATCCGTGAGGTAAGGTGAGGTGTGACATTTTTAGGGTCGACCTTTACTAACCACTTCCTTCCTTGTGAGAAGGCAGCATCGCTGTAGATGTTGGTTGTCCGTGTGAAACATCTTACTGCTGTCACACCTCTCTACAGTCAGCAGTACGACTTCGCCCTCAGACCTTGAGTTGCTGCTTTTGGTCTTACCGTTCTCCAATCGACCTGCCTGGCATGATAGAACCTACAGGAACATATGTTCCAGCCAATATAGCTCGGTTGGGTCACCACAATAGGCGCGCCCGACCACCACGTCAAGGTAGCAGTCGGGTAGTAGTATTATTCAAATGCCAGAACACCTGTTGTAGAGATAGTTTATTGTTAATCATTAGTAAAAACCCGTAAGCGCTCAGAATGGAAGCACATAGAGAAACCAGTGAGTTTGTGTGTGTTACAACCGATAGGAGAACATATGAATATTGACGTGCAGACATGCGCTCAATCAGACTCACACATAATTTTACATAGTGGATTAAATGTCTAGATTACAGTGAGTAAACAAATAATAAAGTGGTTGAATGGGCTTACTATAATCCCGTTTTTGGTCTAGTGTGCACATGAATTAATGTCCACTTTCATTCTCGATATCTTAAATAGTATAAATCTAATAGTGAATATGCTAAAACTCTACTATACTATTACTAATTAAGATTATCTATCAAGTCATTGCTAAAACGTTTCATCCTAGTCATCTTTTTGGAAGAAATGGTCACTTTCAATATGTTGTCTGATATCCATCAGTGAATTCGGCTTCAATTTATGTCAATACGCATGGATGTTTACTGTTCGTAAACACTAAGTATATCTACAACCAATACTTTAGATACCCAGTTTTGTGCTATAGGATAGCTGGCTCCTGTTGCAATTTGCTTGTGTTCGTTGTACTTAGTGGATGTTTGTTCAAATTTTATTTTGCCAATGTTCAGTCAGTTCGTTGGTCTCAATTACTATACGTTCATATGATCCTTCACTCTTTTCTTGTCTATCGTTTTTAGCTGATGGATGGTAATGTCCCTATCGAAGGTTCAGATACTCTCAGTGATCCCCGTGTATGGCTTGATTACCTAGCAGCACTGTTTCGTACTTTCAATTGCCTTTTACGACGTTTGGGAAACCCAAGTTCTAGTCAGTGGGACACAAGGGAACGCAACGCTGTTGATCGTACTACGTCCGAGTTGGTGCTTTCTGCTCAGAATTGTTTAGCTGAATGCTTGCAGTTAGTAAGAGAAGTAATATGGCCAGTTGTTACCCGTGTACTCACACATTATGCCTCGCGCATGCGTCCAATGGAGCATGTTTGTCGTCTCATACGTTTCATTGTGCGTTGTTTTTCTGTGCACTTACGAGATCTTCTCCCGGAGCTTGCTGAAAAAGTAAGTTCAATTACTGATGATAAATCTATTCTGTCATGTTATTGCTACTATAACATCTGACAGCTAAATGGATCAAAATGTAAAATTCATTTCACATTAAGGTAAAATTTTGTTGGTTATCGTTTATTTACTTCAACACAAACGTTGGTACATGGGAGCGCCAAATAATTATGCGCCACACTAGAGGGACAGCGAATGTGAAGTATGCATAATAAAGTGAAGAAGAACAACAACCAACAGGAATTAGTGCATGAGAGTGAAATAATAATAGTAATAGATGGGAAAAACTGTTCGGTTGGTAAAACTATAACCAGAAGGAATTCTTTAAGTTAAAGAAGAAAATAAGAGAGAGTTACAGCAGGATCGCCACAGGCTTCTATTCTGAGCCATTTCTGATAACATTTCTAGTCACTGTGTTACACCATCTCTGAGATCCTAACCAGAGAGTCATGAATGACCAACAGAAGTCAGTCCTGCACAACTCTCTTTCATACTACTACTCCATGTCGTCTACCGACCACCTCCGCTTTTCGCCACCAGTCCCAGAGTCGACAAATAATGCACGACGACGGATCCTCCGGGACAATATTCGTAGAACATGTCCAAGCTACCGAAGTCGATGTCTCAAGATGGTGACACCAATTGAATGATCGTCTCTGTGCACGAACACACAATGCCGAACCTCTGCATTACTAACATGATGTTGCCATTGGATGGCAGCAATCCTTGGGAGACAGTGATGATCGAACACAGAGAGTCGTCTAACATCCTCAACTCGAGGAGGCCAGGTTTCACAAGCATAGAGCAAAACTGATCTCACCGACGCGTTGTAGATCCGACCTTTTACAGCCAGACTGACATCACGAAGGCGTCAAAGACGGTCCAGATTGGCTTAAGCTGCCCTGGCTTTCCCTATACGTGAATCGATCTCATCTCTCACGCCACCACCAGCACTTATGCAGCTACCCAGGTGGTCGTATGCCTTCACTCTTCCTGAGGTGTTTGTATATGAGGCTTTTAAGATGTTAATAAACTTCTCAGGCACACCCTTCTTCAACAGACAATCCCGTAGAACAGTCCTGTCTAACAAATTGATGGTGGCCTTGATGTCAAGAGACACTGGGACTGTTGGCTTGTAGTAAGTATGACGGTGCTCTGATATTTGATGGTGGGTGAAAAGATGATCAAAACAGCCTCGATAAGAACGAAAACCAACCTGCTCTTTGCGAGTCGATCTTTTCTGTTTTAAACAATCTGCGAAGTATGACGGAAGCCAATAGTTTGGACACAATCGGAAGTAGACTTATCCCCCAATAGTTGTTGCATAGATTACGTGAACTCCTATTAAAGATAAAGACGACTATCGACTCATTCCACGATATTGGAACACCTTGTAACTACTAGAAATTTTTAAACAACTCAGTCAGTTACTTAACCAGACGGTCGTCACCAGATCAGTTGAGCTGCCTCTCAAAAAAATCTGCCCATCGTCCAAGATGTCAGTAGATGTTGGTGATTGACACTCTGTCATCTTTACAGATTGTTTAACTCACACCAGACGTCTTGCTGGCAGTGACTTGGATAAGTTGAAAGACCTTCCGGTAGTTACCAGATGCAGCTGCTGCTTCCAACCCATTGGCACGCTCCGACCACCAGGTTTCTCGGTTCTTATGCAAGCTATGCACATCTTCATTGCGTGACAATCTTCGTTTGTGGCCAAGCTCGAGGTCACCCAGAGTAGACTGATGTGCTTCAATGGGTTGTAAGGACCCTGTAGAAACCTTATGCTTATGAACTGGACGTTTCACGAAGCTGCAAGTAACTTTACTCTCAATTTTCATGGTGTCATGCAATTGCAACTAATGCTCATTTATACTTTCCGGTGGGATGTTAGCTAGCCTTGAACCTAGCTCGGTTTGATATTTAGTTGTAACCAATTTGCTGACATCGATTCGTTTAGGACAATTGATTTGTTGGCCAGAGCCACACCAAAGGTAGGTGGTCGTTATGTGATCAGAGTCCAGGCTTGAGATGTAGAGCGAGGGCGCCATGTGGCACATCGGCGATGACTGTGCCGGTAGTTAGTGTTAGCTAGAAACAGGTTGTGATCTGCGCAGAGTTGCAGTAGACGGTCCCTGTTATCTAACCTGTGACCAACAAGTTTCCATCGGCCACCTAAACGACTCTCTTTTGTGTCTAGACACCAGACTTGTACATTCAAGTCTCCGTCTAGCACTACAATATTTGTCGAAGGAGCTTTCCGGAGATCATTTAACTGGTGTTAAAGTTCACTCTTGATTGCATTCCGGTTGTAATCTGTCGTGGGATAGGCAGAGACTAAGGAAAAACATCTTTTCTTACACCGAATTCTTCTTACTTTGATGGAGCTTTCTAATCTAACAACACATAACCGACTATTAATGGGGATCCAATGTATTAGTTCTGCCTCAGCTCTAGTGCTTAGTGCGACACCAACGTCCGCATAACCAGACAAAGATGCCACAGGGTCCCCGGATAAACGCACGTAAAACAGGCTTTTCGAAGCGATAAATGGAGAGCTAATTTGTAGCACTTCACTAGTGTTGAATAAAAGTCCTGGATAGACAACAGACATAAATGTTGAGACTTTCTAAAGACACAGTCAACCCTATCTGTTGTCCGATTCGCATTAGTGTGCAAACGTTGAAAAAGGCCATTTTGAATGGTATTTATTCGATTTAAGAAACATTGGGTCAGTATTTGTAGTCGATGGTAGGATTCAACTTTCGACCAGTCAGTGACTCGAGATCGTTTAGATAGAACAGAGTTTCCACCATAGGCAAGCTGTTGTATGAGTTGAAAAATCGCGATACATAAAGTGGGAATAAAAGAGAGTTGATAAGTGTCGTAGTATATAAAAAATAAAAATGAATGTGAACTGTCTGAGTTTTAATTGAGGCGAGAGTAGTATTTTCAGTAATTATCGTCATTTCATTTTATTTGTGTGTGGGCTGTGATACTGCCCGAGTGGCCAGATCGAAACAGGTGGTTTTCTTAGGAGGCCACACGCGGAGTCTCTGACCACAAGGCAGTGGAGCAACGTCAGGAGATACAGTCACATGGCAGCTGGTGTCCAACGTTTGGTTCATTTGCAATTTGTTCCCTCAGGATCCTGGAGCCCATGTGCACCATTGGTTTAGAATCAGGGTTTTTCATCTCTACCGAGTGGATGTTCCGTACCAACCAATCCGGTTGAAGCGCCGGATGTTCTCTTTTTGTCCTCTCAGTCGTAAACTACACCCCCGCCGCGAGAAGGCAGTGAGTAGGAATTCCCTTATAATGTTGGCGTACCCGTCACCATGTGAGTGTATTTCGAGAGGGACAGTTCACTCTCCCCACTTTCGGCCGTACCAGTGCATTTGAGGGCGACGTGAAAGATCCCACATCTTCTAGATCTTTTCCATCAAGTGTGATTGTGTTGGTGTTTTCCGTGCTGTATTTGAGGATCTTGCTTTTTCCCTTGTGTATGCTGAGGCCTACTGATGCAGAGGCTGCTGTTACACTAGTTGTCTTTATCTGGATTTGTTGGTGTGTATGGGATAGAAGGGCCAGGTCATCTACTAAGTCCAGATCTTCTAGGTGATTCTGAGCTGTCCATTGTGTTGCATGCTTTCCCTCAGATGTCGAGGTCTTCATAATCCAATCGACCACCAGAAGAAAGAGGAAGAGAGAGTAAGCAGCCTTGTCTGACACAGGTCCTCTATTGGAATGCGTCTTTCAGCTGTCCACCATGCACAACTTTGCACTGTGGTCTGTCGTATGAATTTTGGATGATGTTGACGATCTTCTCAGGTACACCATAGTGTCGAAGAAGTTTCCACAATGTCCTCCTATCCACGCTGTCAAAATGGTGAAGGAAGCCCTCTCCATTATATCTGCTGTAAAAAAAGTTCCACAACATGCTGTTTGGCAGACATTTCACCTTACTAACAGACCATAAACCGCTACTGATAGTTTTGGGATCCAAAAAGGTTATCCCTGTATATATAGCAAACCGTCTACAGCGATGTGCAACTACACTGTTGGGCTATGATTTCAAGATAAAGTATCAACCGACAACAGATTTTGGACAGGTAGATGCCCTCTCAAGATTGATTGGTTCGCATGCAAAACAAGAGGAGGTGCTTGTAGCTGCCATAGATGTTGAGGTTGAGGTTCACAAAGTTTTGGCAGACGCAGTTTCCGGACTCACGGTCACATTTGAGGCTGACTCAGGTGTTGCTTCGAAAGATATACAAGCAGCTGTGGAAACAGCAATGAAATTTATTAGTGACTTAAACCACAGAGTTACAAAGAACCAGTGGATTTCTTCAAAGTCTATCACACTGATGGATTCTCGCAAACTCATTCCATCAGACTCTGAACACGATGAAGAGCGAAAACAAATCAGATCTAGATTAAGCAAAAGTATAAGGAACGACCGTGAGCAGTGGTGGGCAACGAAAGCAGAAGAGATGGAAAAGGCGGCGGCTATAGGGAACACAAGACAGCTCTACAGACTAATAAAAGAAACTGGAATTAATAAGTCAAGTGTAAGTCAGACTATTTCGGAAAAAGACGACACTCTCATCTGCTCCCAGTCCAGACGTTTAGAACGATGGGCGGGACATTTTAGAGAACAGTTCAGCTGGCCTTCAGCTACTCTACAACTACCCTCCATTCCCAGACAGTGTGAATGGAACATTGAAGTAGGTCCCCCAACTCTAGCTGAAGTTCAAGAGGCTATGGTTAATCTGAAACGAGGAAGGGCAGCTGGTCCAGATGGACTGGCTCCAGAGGTCTTTAAGGATGGTGGTCCAATTTTAGCGATTAGGTTGACTAATATTTTAGCTAAGATCTGGGAGTTAGACGTTATTCCATCTAACTGGTCGCAATCACTTATCATCCCAATATATAAGAAAGGGTCAAAATCATCCTGTGACAACCATAGAGGGATTAGTTTAACTAATATAGCATCTGAAATACTAGCCTCGATAATGATCGGACGCCTAACTAAGACTCGTGAACTGCAAACACGAGAAAATCAGGCTGACTTCAGATCTGGTCGTGGTCGCATCGATCAAATAGTCACCATTCATCAGGTTCTCGAACACAGGCATACTTATCGGCGTCCGACAATGGTGGTCTTTCTTGACTTAGAAGCGGCATTAGACTCTGTGAAGCGAGAGGTGCTGTGGCAGTGTCTGTCATTGAATGGCGTACCTCAGAATTACATAAACCTTGTGAAGGCTCTTCACTCGAACACTACTAGTCGAGTCAGAGCTTATGGCGAACTGTCATCTGCTTTTGCAACTTTAAGTGTCTGTCAAAGCTGTCCACTTTCTCCATTTCTGTTTAACTTCATCATAGATCTGCTGATGGAAATAACGCTCTCATCGACTGAATTCTTGGGCATTGATCTCCTACCAGGAGGTCCACTTATTGACTTAGTACGCAGATGACATAGTCCTGTTTGGTGAAGACGCTGACAAAATGCAGTCTTTTGGTAGCACCAAGCAACAATGCCAGAATGTTTGGAATGCGCTTCTCCCTCTCTAATTGCAAGTTGTTGCTTCAGGACTGGTCTGCGTCAACACCTGAACTAAGGAGTAGTCGAACGCGTTGACAACTTCACTTATCTTGAAAGTCTGATCAACCCTAATGGGTTGGTGTTTGACGAAAGCTGTGCACGGATTCAGAAAACTCGTTTGGCTTTTACCAACTTATATCACCTATGGCGAAGGCGAGATATCCGTCTATCAATAAAAGGAGGAGTATACTGCGCGGCAGTTCGTTCTGTTCTACTTTACGGCTGCGAAATATGGCCATTAAGATTTGAAGATACTTATAGGCTACAAGTGTTTGACCACAGATGCCTTAGAAATATTACCCACATCTGCTGGGATGACCGGGTAAGTAATAGTGAAGTTAAACACTGGGTATTAGGGAATGATGGTAAATCGGTTGATGAGGTTGTGAATATTTATCGACTGAGACGCGTGGGCCACGTGTCGCGTATGCCTGAACACCGATTACCACGACGCGCAATGCTAACCGATGTTGGGGATGGTTGGAAGAAAGTTAGGGGCGGTCAAACCAAAACGTGGCATCAGTGCTTGAAGCCACTAACTTCTGTTCTGAGCCATGTTGGTAGAAACAGACTGGTTGGGGTCCGCGTGACTATCGTAACCAATGGTTGGAGACTGTGGGTGACATGGCTCAGAATCGATCACAATGGCGTAGGTGTATATACTCTCTATCTTCCTTTAAACTATGAGATTAAAATCGCTTCATATCTTTCTTTCTACATACTAAATCTTTCTTCCTGTACTATATACTTATATGCAATCTTTCTTTTACATATTACCACCACTGAATCAACCACTTCTATGAATCCGGTGTCCATCTTGTTGAGCTAATGAGATATGGCAACTTGGACCGATGCATATATGTGCCTTATTCTACGTTGCAGCTGACCGACTAACTGACCTCTTTTCATTTGCGTTAAAAATCGAATGTCTGAACCATCACTTCACAACGTAATATTGAATTAAGCAAATATTATCATTATTTTCATTACTACATTTCTTTACCTACATCTAGTAGTCCATAAAAAAATCCAAACTTTGATAAATCATTATTTTTTTATCGCCTCTGTAATAGTGTTTTTATGTTAACATTTATTCTTACCTTTTGTTTACTTCATTCAGCTAGCTATATGTCTGCTTCCAAATCAGATTATTTTCTGATTTTCCAACCTTTAGTTCAATTATCATAGCCCTGATTACCATATATTATTAGAGATCTAAGGAAAACAACTTTCCATATATTTTATATAAATTAGGCTAATCAAACCCACTTCATATACTGTAGTACGATTTGTAAGTTACAAAATTAAATCATGAATGCTTCTCTGCACATGTAAGTAAGAGTCATTTCACTTTATTAATACAAGTTAAGTTAGAAACATGATCACTATAATACCAATTCACGGTCTAAAAGTTGTATTATTTGTATGGGCTGGTTAAACACTACTCATCATGATCATATTGTTAGCAGCTGTATCTAGCATGACATTTTGAGGCTTCATTCAAAAATTGAAAAAATGGGTTGTTTTCACGCTTTACTTGATCTTTGAGTAGATTGCCATGTTAACATATTACGTAAGATTAGATTTTCGTCTGTGATGAATCTTTTCAATAATTGTTCGAATCCATTTTTGAGTCCCGTTAAAATGTCGACTTTAAGCTGCTATAAAAACTAAGTTTGTTTTTCTGGTTTAATTTCATACTTTTATGTATCAAAGCAATGTTGTTTCGAACAGTTTTTCTCAAATTTCAGATTGTACTGTCTTACACAACTGGAGGACAACATTCAAGTTTTCTCTATTTAACAAGCGTGCTAGTTGATGAATTCGGAGAACAATTAGATTGCAGAGTCGGTTTAGTTAACGTGTATGAGGTAATTTTTAAATTGAAAAAAATTTACATAATTTTCATTGGCAACTTCAATTTCGGCACAAACGATCAAAATAAGGTGTCGTAAAATAGTTCATTAGATAAATGAGCATTGTAAAAAAAATTAACACAAGCATAATAGTGTTTAGCAATAAATTACAAATATCTAAATTTTTCTTATCCAGTTTCAGTACAACTAAATCCAACGATCAGTTTGTATAAATTTTAGTTTTGTATCCCAGTCATATGTTCGGGTTTCAAGCCCTTGTAGTAACATCCATTTATGCTAAAAAAAGATTTATTGCACTTGACAACTGCTCATTTTCACCAAACCAAAGTGGTAAATTATTTCCTATTTCGAAAATAATCACCGCAATACATGTTCTGAATATTGCATACCTACTGCATTATGCGAAGATTTGTAAATATTTCTCACAAATGCCCTGGTATGGCCGAGAGTGGAGAGAGTCCGCTCTCCCTCTCGAAACACTCTCACACGGCCACGCGTATACAGCCTCTGCCAGGGAAGTCCTACTCATTGCCTTCTCGTGGCGGGGGTGTTGTTTACGAAAATGAGAGGACGTAAAGCGAATGTCCGGCGCTTTAACCGGATCCAAAACCAATGGTGCACATGGGCTCCAGTATCCTGAGGGAACAAATGGCGTATGAACCAATCTTTGGTCACCGGCTACCATGGGACTGTATCTCCTTACGATGCTCCACTGCCTTGTGGGTTAGACCTTTAGGTCAAAGGCTCGGAGTGTGGCTCCTAAGAAAACCACCTGCTTCGGTCTGGGCACACGGGCAGTATCGCAGCCCACACGCAAATGATGTGAACTCTCTATATTTATGGAAACTACTTTTCTCGCTTCGAACAACAATCAAATTATTATTATTATTATTATTATTATTATTATTATTATTATTATTATTATTATTATTATTATTATTATTATTATTATTATTATTATTATTTACCACATTATTCACCCTCTTTTATACTTATACAGCGGCTCGTCTTTGGTGGAAATTCGACTGTATCTAAACGTTCTCGAGTCACTGCCTGATTGAAAGTTGTATGATACCACTAAATACGAATAGTGAAGCAGTTTTTCTGAAACCACTTGCACCATTCAAACTGGCTGCCTTCAACGTTCGCACACTTATGCAGGTTGGACAACAGATAGAGCTGGCTGTGTCTTTGGAAAGTCTTAATATTGATGTTTGCTGTCTATCCGAGACCTGTATTCAAGACTCTGGTAAAGTACTACAAATTAGCTCTCCATCTGTCGCTTCAAAAAGATTGTTTTACGTGCGTTTATCCAGGGACCCTGTGGCATCTTCGTCTGGTCTTGCTGGAGTTGGTGTCGTACTAAGCACTAGAGCTGAGGCAGCACTAATCGATTGGATCCCCATTAACAGTCGGTTATGTGTTGTTAGATTAGAAAGTCCCATCAAAGTGAGAAGAAATCGGCGTGAGAAACGATGTCTTTTCGTCATCTCCGCCTATGCCCCAACAGATTGCAGCCCGGATGCAATCAAGGATGAGTTTTACCACCAATTATCTGTTCTTCTCCAGAAAGTGCGTTCGACAGATATTGTAGTACTAGCCGGAGACTTGAATGCTCAGGTCGGGCGTCTAGGCACAGAAGAGAGTCGTTTAGGTGGCCGATGGGGACTTGTTGGTCGCAGAACAGATAACGGGGACCGTCTACTGCAACTCTGCACAGACCACAACCTGTTTCTGGCTAGTACTAACTTTCGGCACAGTCATCGCCGATGTGTCACCTGGCGTCCTCCCTCTGCATCTCAAGCCTGGACTCAGATTGATCACATCGCGATCAGCTACCGCTGGCGTGGTTGTGTACAAGACTGCCGCTCCTTTTCGAGTACCTATCTGGACTCTGATCATGCCTTGGTCTGCGCCAATCTTACCTTACTTCTCAGTGGACAACGAAGTGACCACCACCAACGGATTGATGTTAGCAAGCTGGTTGCAACTTCTGTTGCTAGTACGTATCGAACCGAGCTAGCTTCTAGGCTAGCTACCATTTCACCGAAAAGTATAGATGAGCGTTGGTTGCAATTGCATGACGCCATGAAAATGGCGGGTACAGTCAGTCGTGGGTTCGCGAAACGTCCCGCTTATAAGCACTGGTTTTCTTCAGGTTCCTTACAACTGCTGGAAGCTCTTCCAACTCATCCAAGCCACTGGCAGCTAGAAGTCTGGTGTGAGCGAAACAATCTGTGAGGATGACGGGATGCCAATCACTAACATCCATCGACGTCTTGGACGATGGGCAGAATTCTTCGAAGGGCAGTTCAACTGGCCTGCTGCTCCGGCAACATCGGTCAGACTGTCCTGCCCTCCATGGCCGGTGACGACTGATCCACCAAATGAGGAGGAAGTCCGCAAGGAACTCCAACTCTTGAAGCGTTACAAATCACCTGAACCAGATGACTTACCTCCGGCTCTTTTTAAAGATGGTGGTGACTTTCTAACTGAGGAATTGACGACGTTGTTTACAAAGGTTTGGGAACTAGAGAGTGTACCAACGTCATGGGATGAGTCGTTAGTTATCCCTATCTTTAAAAAGGGTTCACGTCTTTCCGGTATTAACTATCGGGGGATAAGTCTACTTCCGATTGCGTCCAAGCTATTGGCTTCCGTCACACTTCGTAGGTTGTTCAAAACCCGAGAAAGATTGACTCGCGAGGAGCAGGCTGGGTTTCGTTCTGGTCGAGGATGTATTGATCATATCTTCACCCTCCGCCAAATGTTAGAACACCGCCATACTTATCAAAGGCCAACACTTGTGGTGTTTCTTGACGTCAGGACTGCCTTCGATTCGTTGAACAGGACTGTTCTCTGGGATTATCTATTGAAGAAGGGTGTGCCTGAGAAGTTTATTAACATCCTAAAAGCCCTATATACATACAACCACCTTTCTCCATTGTTCCATTCGAGCAGTGGCGTTAGGCAGGGTTGCCCAATCTCACCATTCCTCTTCAACCTTGCTATCGATGAGATTCTGGAAACAGCTGTGATGGATGTAAGTAATGGTGGTGTGGATCTGTTGCCTGGAGAAAGACTTCTCGACCTTGAGTATGCGGACGATATTGTCTTACTGTGCGATAATGCCTAAGGCGTGCAATCCTCAATTAATCAGTTGGCAATGAGTGTCCGTAGGTATGGTATGTGCTATGCACCTTCGAAGTGCAAAGTACTTCTACAAGACTGGCAGGATTCCAATCCTGTACTCACTCTGGATGGTGAGCAGATAGAAGTAGTCGAGAAGTTCGTGTATCTGGGTAGCTGTATGTGTGCTGGTGGGGGGTGTGAGTGATGAGATCAATGCACGTATAGTGAAAGCCAGAGCGGCTTATGCCAATCTGGACCGTCTTTGACGCCTTCGTGATGTCAGTCTGGCTGTAAAAGGTCGGATCTACAACGCGTCGGTGAGAGCAGTTTTGCTCTATGCTTGTGAAACCTGGCCTCCTCGAGTTGAGGATGTTAGACGACTCTCTGTGTTCGATCATCACTGTCTCCCAAGGATTGCTGCCATCCAATGGCAACATCATGTTAGTAATGCAGAGGTTCGACATCGTGTGTTCGGGCACAGAGATGATAACTCAATTGGTGTCATCATCTTGAGACATCGACTTCGGTAGCTTGGACATGTTCTACGAATATTGTCCCGGAGGATCCGTCGTCGTGCATTATTTGCCGACTCTGGGACTGGTTGGAAGAAGCGGAGAGGTGGTCAGTGCATGACATGGTGTCGTGGCATGAAAGAAAGCTGCAAAGGACTGGCTTGTGTTGGTCCTTCACGACTCCCTGGTTGGGGTCCGAGAGATGGTGCTACACAGTGTCTAGAGACGTTATCAGATATGGCTCAGAATAGAAGCCAGTGGCGATCCTGCTGTAACCTTTTACTCTCTTCATAAAAAGTGGTTGCTTCTTCCTTAACTGAAAGATTTCTTCTGATTGTTCCTTTCCCCCTCATTATTACTATTATTATTACTGCACTACCTTACACCAACCTCTTCGTTATCGTTCTCTTTTTTTTCACACTCCTTACTTTTTTTTCTTTCTCTTCGAATTCTCATTGTTTTGTGTGGCTCATATATATTGGCGCTCTCTTGTACCAATATATGTGTTCAAATAAATAAATGAAATAAATAATAAATATTTCCCAGATGTAGAACTTTGGTTGTAAATGTTGACTTGAACGTATTACTAATGTTATCCGGTCTTCGTCATATGTAATATCGATGTTGGAAATTTCCTGATTTCTGCACATTTTAGACCTAAATTTTACAAGTAGCTAATTAATTCCACGGTCATGTATAACTAAAATGTATTTTGTTAAATCCCTGTTAAGCAGGGATGAATAGTGGCTAGTAGTGTGGTCCAGTAGGTGCGTTTCATCCTATTTGTGACTTGTCAGGATTGATTTTCATTTCTAGACTCGGGCGCAGTACCGTTCGCTACGAATGCCTTCGCATTATCTACTTAGTTACTGATTCCAGTCTATCTCTACTTATAATGCTTGTGACTTAATGGCAACATTGAGGCAGTCCGCACACGACGCACATATGCCAAAAGAAACTGATCGATTTCGGTCATAAACATCAATGAGCAGACTCAAACAACCAATACAAATGAATTAAAACCCTTCGTCCAACATTTACCATTTTTATTGTGTTATTTTAGAAACATATTTCCTTAATTTTGTCGTACCCTATTTCATATAGCTGCGTTATGATTACTTAGTTAATCATCTAGGTTACACGAGTCTTTATCAGAGTAAAATTAGTTGTTTGTCGAAATATATTTTCTTATCCTTCGAATAAGATTCGCCAGGTACTAGGGGATTTAGTTTGAGTTAAATCCTCAAACATTCGTTTACTTTCTAGTTATTTCAAAGGTATTTAGTGTGTTTATTTTGCGAAACGTTATTGAAATATGGCTTGTTTGTTTATTTGATTTGATTTTCTTCATCTATTTAGTTAATCAAGATGAATTACTCTGGTCATTATTCTTACTCTTAAAAGTATTTTCAAACAAATTTGTTTATGAATTTCTTACGAGACTTCAAGAATTCGCTTTTGCACTGTACTTGGATATTGTTTAGTAATGTATAAAGTATGACACAACTTAATTTGTTTACAATAGTTTTACAGGCTTCTAATGAATGTGATATTTATTTAAGAGTATATTTATCTGTATTATTTGTGTCTATCGATTGTAAAATGCATATACTATTCTGTCTTGAAGTTTTAAATCTTTGTTTAAAATGTCCACCATTTTGCAGGCATTGAGTGGTCCAACACTGAAATCTATCTCTGGTTCTGGCCTTATACAACAACCGCATACTGTGGAAGATCTATTTCGGTTATGCACCCGACTTGTACAACACTGTGCAGCTGTTTTTCTCACCAGTAGCAGGATCAATTTGAATGAACTCTGCGATACCGCTGTCTCTTCTCTAAATCTGTGTTGTACCGGCCCTGGTGCTGGTTCGTCTAGTGATGATACACCGGATCCAAACTCATCTAATAATGATGAATCGAGTTCATCGTCAGCTTCTACCAGCGCATCAGCTGCAGCTGCTCGATTTTTCATCGAACTTATCATTTTTACGAACGAGGCATGTGAGGAGACACCAATTCAGGTTGTACAGATTTTGGAGTCTGGTAGACATCTTCCTACTCCCTCTTGCCAGTCAGCTCTAGCTGCTCAAAATGTTATTGTGTGGTTAACTTACTCCAGGCCTACGCAGCCTACTGATCCTAGTAATATGAATAGTTGTTGCGGCGGACAACGGTTAGTTTCAGCATTATTGCAAGCATGTTGTCTTGGATTAATGGATGAAAGGTTTCCCGAGATGGCGGATATTTTATATCACCTTAAGGTCATGATTAATCAAGAAGTAAGTATCTATCTTTGGTAGAGCTTCTATGTGTTGTCTTATTCGATACGTAGCATAGTTTTTGCAAATTAAATCAGTACCTTAAAGTTTTTGTCATTTTGAACTCCTTGGTTTTCTCCAACGAATTTTTTTCTCCTTATTATGCGTGTTTACTACGGTGTCGTGAAGAATGAACTCAGTGCTTCAATATGACTACATCTGAACATCGTTAAGTCTACCTAACTATTTAATTTACCCATCCTCATCCAAGTTTGGTTTTGTTGGATTTGTTATTTCTGATCCCCACGTGCATACTAGATAATCACGAAAGCTAATGCTAACATTATTGAAAAACGTAATTAAATAAAAACAAAAGAAAGGTAGATAATCGGCAAACATCATGTATAATTGTTTAATTCTTCTATTGGGAAATGTCCCCGTTGAAATTTACTGAGTATTATGAATTTATAGTTAACGGACTTATTTTAGCATCTTCTTTCTTAGGTTTTACTTGTTGAACGATGCATTTGGTTTTTATTTTGTCAAATCTTTCAAATTATGCGATCTTAACAAAAGACCAACCAGGAATAAGTCACTTCTAAAAAAGTTGATCACAATTCAGTATTTCCAATTCCAATGCTATATTTTCATATCCGTATTCACATATAGATGTTTCTTAACTGGCTGAAGAACGCAGTAGCCAATTTGTCAACTATGCGTACTGATGGTTTAGTCCAAGCTACACAAGACCAAATTACCGATTTTCAAGATGTTGTTATGAAGTGAGTCTACTTGTATAAAGAATTTTCAATCCTAGTTCTACAATTTTGGTTTTTTTTTCTACTAATTGTTGTCTATGTTCATACACATAATAACGGTTAGTGTAATACTTTTTATCAAACTAAAATTAATATTCCCTTCTTAAATTATCTCGTATAAAATGCACTGTATTAGCTAATTTTACATCAGTATGTATCGTAATTGTCCGTGTATGTAAAAATTGCGAATGTTTCCCATTTCATTGCTGTGCGAACTAACCTTTTAAATCTTATTAGCTGCTTCTCACTTGTTTCGTGTTTCTGAGGTACGCCATTCAATGACAGACACTGCCACAGCACCTCTCGCTTCACAGAGTCTAATGCCGCTTCTAAGTCAAGAAAGACCACCATTGTCGGACGCCGATAAGTATGCCTGTGTTCGAGAACCTGATGAATGGTGACTATTTGATCGATGCGACCACGACCAGATCTGAAGTCAGCCTGATTTTCTCGTGTTTGCAGTTCACGAGTCTTAGTTAGGCGTCCGATCATTATCGAGGCTAGTATTTCAGATGCTATATTAGTTAAACTAATCCCTCTATGGTTGTCACAGGATGATTTTGACCCTTTCTTATATATTGGGATGATAAGTGATTGCGACCAGTTAGATGGAATAACGTCTAACTCCCAGATCTTAGCTAAAATATTAGTCAACCTAATCGCTAAAATTGGACCACCATCCTTAAAGACCTCTGGAGCCAGTCCATCTGGACCAGCTGCCCTTCCTCGTTTCAGATTAACCATAGCCTCTTGAACTTCAGCTAGAGTTGGGGGACCTACTTCAATGTTCCATTCACACTGTCTGGGAATGGAGGGTAGTTGTAGAGTAGCTGAAGGCCAGCTGAACTGTTCTCTAAAATGTCCCGCCCACCGTTCTAAACGTCTGGACTGGGAGCAGATGAGAGTGTCGTCTTTTTCCGAAATAGTCTGACTTACACTTGACTTATTAATTCCAGTTTCTTTTATTAGTCTGTAGAGCTGTCTTGTGTTCCCTATAGCCGCCGCCTTTTCCATCTCTTTTGCTTTCGCTGCCCACCACTGCTCACAGTCGTTCCTTATACTTTTGCTTAATCTAGATCTGATTTGTTTTCGCTCTTCATCGTGTTCAGAGTCTGATGGGACGAGTTTGCGAGAATCCATCAGTGTGATAGACTTTGAAGAAATCCACTGGTTCTTTGTAACTCTGTGGTTTAAGTCACTAATAAATTTCATTGCTGTTTCCACAGCTGCTTGTATATCTTTCGAAGCAACACCTGAGTCAGCCTCAAATGTGACCGTGAGTCCGGAAACTGCGTCTGCCAAAACTTTGTGAACCTCAACCTCAACATCTATGGCAGCTACAAGCACCTCCTCTTGTTTTGCATACGAACCAATCAATCTTGAGAGGGCATCTACCTGTCCAAAATCTGTTGTCGGTTGATACTTTATCTTGAAATCATAGCCCAACAGTGTAGTTGCACATCGCTGTAGACGGTTTGCTATATATACAGGGATAACCTTTTTGGATCCCAAAACTATCAGTAGCGGTTTATGGTCTGTTAGTAAGGTGAAATGTCTGCCAAACAGCATGTTGTGGAACTTTTTTTACAGCAGATATAATGGAGAGGGCTTCTTTCTCTATCTGACTGTAGTTCCTTTCAGTCATAGACGGCCATCTTGCAGCGTGGGCGATCGCCTTCTCAGACCCGTCAGGGTAAGTGTGTGAAATTACTGTTGCTACTATAATGGAAGACCTGGATCATAGTGTTTAAGTAGATGGTTTGATGATATGAGCTGCTTTGGTTTCAGGAATGCTTCCTGGCATTCAGTTGACCAGAACCATTTGGTATCCTTTTTCAATAAACTATTAAGAGGAGCACGAAGGCGATGCCGATCTGGAAGAAAAACGCCATAATGACTAGCCATTCCCAAGAAAGAACGTAAAGTTGATACATCCGTCGGTGGAGGCATGGACTTGATAGCGTCGACGTTTTCAGGATCAGGTTTTCTTCCGTTTTTATCGATTATGAATCCCAAATAACGGACTTGCTCCATGTAAAAATGACATTTTTAGCACGTAATCTGAACCCATAATCTGCTATGCGCCTGAGAACCGTGTCCACGTTATTCTCTAAGTCAGCATAGTCTGTACCCATGATCAGTATGTCATCGAGATAGGCTGCGGTACCAGAAATATCTTGTAACATAGTATCCATAGCTTGTTAGAAGATTGGAGGGGTGGTCTTTACTCCAAAAGGAAGTCTGTTATATCAGAACAACTGTTAATGAGTGTTTATTGTCAAGTATTGCTTACCCTCTTCCGCTACTGGAATCTGTAGATAAGCTTCTAATAGGTCTAATTTTGCAAAATACTTACCCCCATTCAGTTTCGCAAATAAATCATCTGGTACCGGCAAAGGGTATTGATGGGCTTCAATTGCTTCGTTTAATCCAGTCGAATAATCTGCGCACAGCCGGATACTTCCATTTGGCTTTTTGACAATCACTATTGGTGCTGCCCAATCAGAAAAGTTTACTGGTTCTATTATTCCACTTCTTTGCCGACGCTCTAATTCTTGTTCAACAATAGGCAGCGCTGTATAGGGTACCGGACGTTTAGTTCTGAAGACGAGGGTGACTCCCGGTTTAAGAATCAGTAGTACTTTTACCTTTCCAACACAACACCCTTCAGATCCTTTTCCGCTGGTTTATTGGTTCTCATGGCGCTGCATATGTGGTTAATGGAGTGATTTGCTAATTGTAGTGTTTCTGTCAGGTCTAGACCCAGCAAATTTAGTCCTGGGTTCTCTGTGAGATATAACGTAGCATCCGTCTTCGCGTTTCCGTTTGAAACTGTACAACAAACCTCTCCAACAATATTTAATTTCCCTCCAGATGCACTATGAACTAACTGGGTTGTTGGGAGCACCTGTGGTTTTCCGATAAGATTCCAGTTTCTTCGACTAATAAGTGTGATATCGGAATCAGTGTTGAGCTGCAGGCGGACGCGCTTTTTATTTATATCTAGGTTTACATACTTTCGTTGGCGGTAAATTTTTGCACGACTATGTGATACCAATATTTTGTTGGTTAGAGCAGTGTACCTGTATTTCTTGGAGTATGATTTCGAAGAATGTCATTTATGGGTTCTTTTCCTGAAGCGGTTTTCTTTATGGCCTTTCCGATGACATTTGCTACAAAAATGTTCTTTATATGGGCAGAACCTGTTATAATGCCAACCTCCACATAACCAACATGGAGATGAGGGCTGATTATCTGTGTGCGATAATTTTCTTGAACAGGAATATTTCTTTCCACTTACAGCATGAAAGTATGGCAACTGGCCATTATTTTCGACCATGGAAGTGTCATGTTTTAAGTTTACCAATCTCTGGCACTCTGTGGTTACTTCCTGTGGTGTTATATTCGGACATTGTTCAATTTTACTCAGAATTCTGGTTCTAATATCAGCATCCTTGGGAGATTAGAGGCTGCACACGAATACGAGACACTTAAACTGATCTTCTGTCATTGCTGATAGTTTGAAGCGCTCACATTCACGGTTTACTAAACCCGCATGCTTCACCCAGTCATCATCACCTGCTTTTGTTATATTGAGACTTTGATAACGAATATTAATTAAGGATGACTGTTCAGCAAAGATTTGCGACAAAATTTCAATCGTTATACAATAAACAGGGCACACAGGTTCACAAGTTATAACACACAGCTGCTTGTATATCTTTCGAAGCAACATTTGGGTCCGTTTCGTTTTCAGTTGTTCCTAGAGCCTACTTTTAGTTTTCTCTTTACTCGGTTCAATTCTAATGGGTCTATTTGAGTCCATCGTTGGCTTGGTGCAGGGGGTCGCCATGTTAGACGATGTCTCTACTTATGCTTAAAATTAGTGTTTGCTAAAAATAAACGTTTGTCTGAGCACAGTTACAGCAGACGATCACCATTATCTGTTCGCATTGCCGGAATACCAAAATACCCACCTAAATGCCTTTCTGTTTGGTTTAAGCAACCTACTTGGGCATTAAAGTCGCCTGCTACGAGTACTATGTCTGAACGTTTAGCTTTCTGTAAAACTCATCTTTCACTTCATCCGAGCTGCAGTCAATGGGAGCGTAGGCAGAAACGACAAAAAGGTAACGACGTGTGTCCCTGTCCTTTCGAGTTCTTACGGAGCCGTTTAGCCTAACAGCACTTAGACGCTGTTAACGGGGATCCATGTTTATAGTGCTTGTTCTGTCCTCGTGCTTAGCGCTATGCCTACACCTGTCAGTCCACGAGGACTAGCCATCGGATCGCCAGATACACGGAGGGTGTATCTCGTCGGCTCTCCGTTTTGCCGAGGTGAGGTCAAGTGAATGACTACACTAGGATCCCGTATGCGTGTTTCGGAGACAGCATACATCGATGGTACGAGATTCTGGAGTTTTTATACAAGGAGGCCTGCTGACCGATTTGACATAGTGTGCGTACGTCGAAGACTGCAATGTGTAGTTTAGAGCGAGGTTTCAGTAGACCTGAGACAGTGTTTTGAGCACTAGAATCGTTGGCTATAGTGACACTTGATGAGGAAGCCGAAAGAGGAAGTTTAGAGTTGAAAGTCGATGTAGGAGGAATAATAGGAATTCAAGAGGACGTTTGATTATGAATACAGTAGTCCTGAGTGATGTTAGAGGTATGAGGGTGTTTATCACTTCCCCGTTGCCCACACCGTAGAAGGGTTCTTCTGGAGGTACCTGAAAAGGAAATTGGATTAGAGGTGGTCTTAGTGACCTGAGAGCGTGACCGCAGTGCCCAAGGGACAACTGCTTGAGGTCGGTCACACACGATCTTTTTGTGGGTAATTTCCGTGTTAGCTCCGTACTTGTTGAGACCTTACCGCCGTAGACGGATATCCGTGGTATAAAGTGAGGTGTGACATTTTTAGGGTCGACCTTCCCTAACCCCACCCCTCCTTGTGGGAAGGCAGCATCGCTGTCATGCTGGTTGTTTGAAAGAAACACCTCACTGCCGTCACACCTCTTTATAGTCAGCAATAGGACTTCGCCTTCGGTTTGTTGCTTTTAGTCTTACCACTCTTTAACTGACCTGTCTGGCATGGTAGGACCTTGAGGAACGGTTGTTCCAGCCAGTATAGCTCGGTTGCTTCATCACGATGCGCACGCCTGACTACCACTTCAAGGTAGCAACAACGGCCGGGCTTGACGTTTTTGACCTATTTCATGTACGCCCAGAAAGATTTGGTTTTCTTTTGTAATCTCCAGTATGGATTATCATGAGAATTTATTGTAAAGAAGATTCCTAGTTCATATATTAGCGTTTTATTCTGTAAAATATTCTCGTCTGTGATACTAATATTCAGATACCCAGAGGTTTTTGAATGTTAACAGATAGTTAGGTAGTATCTAATAGACTGATGAGATGCAATTCTGATTATGAAAAAAAACATGATTAGTAGGTATTTATACGGGTTTGATTATCGTTTCTTTAAGACAAATTTGCGCTTGACAGGTAAAACTTTTCAACAAAGATATTTAAATTAGTTGACTTAAATAACAAATCCAACTGCATTCTTTCAACTCCCTACATATAATTGAATGGATATTATATATATAATATTTAATGCGCTGCTGAAAGCCGTTGTTGTATACTTTAATTTGTTCCTAGACTTGAATTCTTGCATATCGATTTTAGCAATATACATGACCACTTTTATAATGTCATTTCTTATTCTTTTTCAGTTCATCCCGGAGTTCAACGATCGTACATGCACTTGATTCATTTTCAAGATTGTTCCGATGAATTATGCTCCCTGTATACAATTTTCAGTGTATAAAAAGTATTCATCTCTCACTTTGCACTATTTTAAAACAAGCTTCTACCTTTATTCTAGATATCTTTGTTGTTATGAGCAATTTTAACCAATGTATTTTAAAACCTTATATATAGCCACATTTCGAGAATTTTTCCAATCTCCTTGAACCTACTCTTTTTATCCTTAACTATATGCAGAATCCAGTCAATTTGGTTATAGTAAATGAGCTATTTAAAATCAAAGAGAACATTTTAATCCGGGTATTCAGCTTTATTACCATTATTACTGACTTAGATTTCACAGATTATCAAACCTTATGAACGGCTTAATAATTTTCCATAGCATGGCGATATTGGGAGTAAATAATAATGTTTGTTTCACCAGGCTTTACAAATCGATCTTTGAAACTAAAATATAGTGAAGGAAAAATCCTAACGATATCTGGTCAATTGATATACATGTTTAGGAGCACATCATGTCCTACTCATAATATTGAAGCTTTATTTTTATGGACGTAAGTGTACCACTGCCAAGCTTTTAACTCAAAACGGTTTGTCTTTAGGAATTTGAATGTTTCATTGGGGTAACATATTGCAATTAATCGATGTCTTATATCTGTGTTCTATTCAGTTTTTACTATTACGAATAGAATCTTGTTCGGGCCGCTCTTTAATCGTCATTGACTCTTCCTTGACAAGAAGTACTGGATTCTTTTTGGAGTACATACTACAATCAATGCTATCAACATATTTATTCGAAATGTTTCCCTTAGGTTAAGGTTACCCAACAAAATATTATGTGGTGCTATAAAAAAAACCTAGTAGTTTTGGATAAACTTCTGTTACTCAGTATGTAAACGACACAATAACAGTATCCACTACAGTATATTTGTGTTCTCCAACAATCTGTTAACAACTGAGAAAACAAAACACTCGGAACAATAAATGACATGTCATTAAATGTGGTAGGAATTTCAAGGGTATTAAGACGCCAAGTCTAACATTACACATGGTTTAAAAAATTTAAAGCAGCGACTTAAAAATCCATTTTGACTATTGTGGTTGGATCGACGACTGTTACATTATCTGCATGAAACAGCGCGTTACTTTTATTCTGACATTTAATCCCCCTTTCACATATTCAGCCATCATCAACACAACCTAGTACAGCATAATGTACTTAATACGAAAAGCAGGAAAAACGAGTATAATTCAATATCTTTGAGAACAACATCAACCAGTAAGCATAGCGTTATCTTTAACGAAAAGTACATTTCAATAATTTCTTACATCTTTGTTTGCCGAAAAACTAACTTGGGTGACTGATATTTCAACATGCATAACGCTACATCACGACTTTACCAATAATTTTACAATTTGTGAAGTGTTTCAAGATATTGTGATGATAATGATCAGGTTTTTTTAATCTAACTAGAGTACGTTGGATATTTGAAAGTCATTTTATTAATACTCTGCTCGTGGTTATATGCATTATTGTCGATCGTTAGTTTTGAACACTCATTAAGGAAGAATGAATAAGAACTACTTCACATATAATAATTAGCTTACTGCATATTTGCGAACAGTTAATTGTCTTTAATAAACATATCTTTCGTTATATCCCAATGAGTAAAAAACTGTATTCCTGACGTTTTGTGACTTAATGTAAGCCGCTCCTTCAAAGTGAATACTCGGGATGCGACAAAAGTATTAAAACACAATTGTATGAACGAAGAATATTCTTTTCAATAATTTCTCATCAGGTTCTACAATTATAAATTCAAATTAATAATCCATAAAATTGGCCAGATTTAAGACAGAGTACATCATTTGGAAGTTGTAATATGTGAATTAAGAATTGTTGTTTGTTATAAAATCATATCGTCAATGTTGGGGCTGTTTAATATAAAGTGTTAACTTGAATCAGTTTATAAGCGAAATGAAATTGTGCGATAAATGATCAGAATAAATATGGTCAACATGGGGTGAGAGAGAAAATAATGGAATTAAAATGGGAGATTACGTAATATGTAGAATAATATGAATGTGGTCAGATAGTGGATTTAGGGGTGGATATTGAATAAATTCTTCAAAAGGTTATCAAATGTAAAGATAATGATAATAATAATAACAATAGCAATAATAAGTTCGGGACATAAAATGAACATGAATCAGATTACGTCACCATATTATAAAATTAATAATTAACTAGTTGGCCAGGGTAAAAGGAGTGGCTGAACATCTTTTGGATGAAAAGCTCTGGTTCTTTGATCCGAATAGCAATTGATTCAGCCGTCTGTAGGATTCGCGGTCTGACGGAATCAGGTAGACTGCTGTTAACACGACCGATTATTGCTAAAGATTGCTCCATGTTGGCTGTATGTTCTGCTTGAACTAGATGGTCTAAGATGTAGCTGTTAACAGTTCTGACTACCTCTGCTTAACCACACGGAGAGGTGCTCACGAGCCCGGATGTACAAATCCCCAGAACATCTGCCAATATAACTTGCTCCACAGGAGCATTTGAATTGATAGATACAGGAGGTGGTTAGCCTAGGTAAATTATCTTTCAACCTCGGAGTGATTATTGGTCGTGTGGAGAATATCAGTTGTAGTTTACCCGCATTAAAAGCCCTTTGAATTGATCTGCTTAACTTAATTCTTAGCATTTCACTTGGTGCATCGCCTCTGAATTGTAAGCGTATATACAGAGGCTTTTTATTTACAGTTGGGCATTCTCTATGCTGTCTTTTACTGGCTGTTTTTATTTATAAATTTCTCGGGATATCCATTTTCCTTCAGATTATGTATAATGACTTTGTTTCATATTCAATCGTATCCACAGAGCATATAGTCTTGATTCTATGATGTAGTGTCTTAATAGGGCTCCTTTTGTGTTGTAGAGGGACAAAACTAAGAAAGTCCGTACATTGACCCGTCCAGGTGATTTTCCTGTTTATGTTTCTTTTTAGCGACCCCTCCTTGTAAGTAGAGCATCTAGAAAGGCCATTCTACCCCCATTTCCTTTCTCCTATGTGAATTTTATGGACGAGTGAACTGTATTGAAACGCTCGAGTGTTTCTAAAAAGTTCGTCCGGTTATTGCAAAGGATAAATGCATCATCCATATATCGGCAGTAGGATGAAGACTTATTGACCTCTTGTGTTAGTGGGTCGTTTTCCAATTTAGAGAGGAGAATGTCTGCCAATACGCGGGACCCAAGGGTGAACCCATCGCGACACCATATATTTGTCTGTAGGTCTCACCATTGAATTTGGAATGTACATTCATAGTACATTTTAGTAATAATTCTTTGATGATCACAGGGACTGTTGTTTCCAGTTCCTGTTCTCTAAGTTGTTTACAAATATATTCTACAGTTCCTCTGAGTGGGACATTCGTGAACAACGATGCTACGTCAAAGGACATCATCGTTTGGTCTTTCGTGTTTATGTTTTTAATCTTGTCAACGAATTGTAATACATCCTTAATACTATGTTTCATCAGGCGTTTATGGATTGGTTTCAAAACGGTTACTAACCACTTTGCTACAATATAATATGGATAATCGTACATGTCCAAAATTGACCTTAATGGGATATTCGGTTTATGTATCTTCGGCAGCCCGTATAACCTAGGTAAATGCGTACCTATCGGCTTAATTATTTCGTACGTCTGTTGGAATCATCTGTTGATCTCTCAGCTTTTTTAAAGATCTGGTCAGTTCATTCTCTATCTTATTATTGACATCTTTTTGGCTATTCAGTTTCTGAAATTTTTGAAGATCATACAGGACGTTATTCATCATTCTTGTTAAGACAGTTCCTGTTCATTTACCGGGCTTTGTGATAATCAGATTCTCGTCACCAATAAGTTCATTTATGGCCTCCCTGTTTCTTAGAATACTTCAGTAGTTATATCTACTATTCTTAAACTGATAGCAGCAGTCAACTAGGTTTGATTTGAAACGTTCAAGTTCCTGATCATAGGTCGGAACTAGATCTGTCTGACGATTTAGGTTTTCAAACTGGATGTCCGTATCGATTTGATTTACACGGTTTCGTGTATCACAGAATTTTAGACCAAGTGCTAATACTTCAAGTTTTTCTTTATTTAATTCAGTACCGGAAAAATTATGCACATACTTTTTTGATCCTGTCGGAAATTTATCTTCAACTGGTTGATTTTCTAGGCTTTTGAGAAGTTGGATATGTTTCTTGTTTGAAACTTTTTTTAAATTTGTGACGTACTCCATAAACTGGGACTTAAGGTCTTCTGTTAATTCATCAACTACAAATCGTCTGCGAGCGATACTAACTTCTATATCTGTCAAGTCATTATTCAATGTGTCAATTTTATTAAGTGCATAGCGCTTTAATGTTTTTCTATTTGGATGGACGTGATTACGGCGTAATGACTTATAGAACAGTTTCGGATAATGAGATGATTCGATACAGTTTTTATAAATACCAATAATGTTTTCGTTTCTGTGAACTTTGCGTTATACTTCAGGAACTTATTGAGTGCCCTCAACGCAATGGGTTGATCACAAGATTTTAATCGCTGAAAAATTCTAATTATATTAAAACACAATTGTATGAACGAAGAATATTCTTTTCAATAATTCCTCATCAGGCTCTACAATTATAAATTCAAATTAATAATCCATAAAATTGGCCAGATTTAAGACAGAGTACATCATTTATCGCACAATTTCATTTCGCTTATAAACTGATTCAAGTTAACACTTTATATTAAACAGCCCCAACATTGACGATATGATTTTATAACAAACAACAATTCTTAATTCACATATTACAACTTCCAAATGATGTACTCTGTCTTAAATCTGGCCAATTTTATGGATTATTAATTTGAATTTATAATTGTAGAGCCTGATGAGGAATTATTGAAAAGAATATTCTTCGTTCATACAATTGTTTTGATATGATGGGAATTTTTTAGCGAACAAAAAGTATATTTATTATTAGCTTTCCGCCTAATGCTCAATTGGTTTGGATCAGTTAGATGTTTTCTTCATTTCAGTTTTTATGCCATCCAAATGGATTCAATTCATTTGGCTTGAACGGGAAGAATGGTCGAGCCAATTCTACAAATACGCTATATACTTGAATCAAGTCAAGTAGTTGAATCACATTCACGAGTCGTGACAATAAACATCCGTAGGATATTTTCCGAAATAGTCTTCAGGGTGGGTTATATGACATGGTTCCGGTTTAGAAGCAATTTGTCTCACTACAAATATTACTAGAGTGTATTTCTAAGGTTCACCATCCCGGTAATATAAATCCTGGAAGAAGAAAAGTTTGAGAAATTGTTAGAGATGAGCTGCTGAGTGGAATAAAAAATGGGATTCGTCTAAGAAAGCGTACGAAATCGAATATTCGCCAGTTGCGTCTTCAAAACAAGGGAGCATTCGAGTAGGTTAAATGATGGTTGCAAAATCATGCCGCCAGATCATTGAAGCATGTTACGGAATTATTTATTTGAACACAAATATTAGTACAAAAAGGTAGCGAATATATATGTGCCATAAGTCCCTTAATTTGTGTGGGCTGCGATACTGTTCGGGTGCCTAAGTCGAAGCAGGTATTTTTTTATTACTCGTGGCAAATCAGTATGATACAGAGATACATTATTCACAGTCTTGTATTTCTCACTGCATCTAACCTCATTAGTCTTTTCCTGTTGTACAAGTACTATATAGCAGTTCGTTTCGCAGTCGTAACATTGGAACAAGTAACAGTAACAGGATTTTGTTAGGTTATTATATATTGTAAGAGGCATCCTTTTTTGCTACAGTTCGTTTAACTAGACCAGAAATTAATTTGTAAGAGCATTATCTTGGAACATTTTATCGACATTTTAAAGAATCTGGAAATGTTCATAACCAAACATTGGATATAAACACACTGGTCATTCAAATGAACTAGATCAACTTCAAACTTTGAGCAATCTAAACGTCCGAATATTTACCAACTACGAAGAAATTCTGACTAATTTCTCAATTATTACAGTACACTATACTCCTTCATAAGAATTTTCGACTACGTCGAGAGCTTTTTGTTGCGTAATAATTGTTCCAGAATGTTGATATTCCCATGTTACGGCAACACACTTATTACTACTCATGATGATAGCTAGAGAACTTAGATGCTTCGTAATTGTTTGCCGTAGTGTGGATGTATTTATTGTTTAGTTTCTTCTAAATCTTTTCTTAATCTACTTTTAGCTTCTAGGCTTCTTAATTTTATTCGTTTTTGTACTTTACTTTTAAAATTTTGGTCTTTGTAATAAAATATCGACAGTTAATGTTAGTTACTTTGATTTGATGCGTGACAAATGGAACATAAGAACGTTAGTGCAGCGCTCAGGAGTTTTTTTTTAACCACCTAACCAAACCTGTTGTATGAGACGCGTTTTCGATATTCAGATAAAATATCTTTAGATAGATGTAAAAAGTAAGTTTACACTTCAGACGAATTACCAGATCACATCAGTTGAATAGCCAATCTAAATCACTTCTTTTAAAATCTTCGGACGCATTTTGCTAACTGTGAAGAACACAAATAGAGAAATAATACTACTTAAATGAACATAGATTCGAATAACTCGCACTAATGCAATCGCGACAGAAAAACTAGACGTAATGAAGCTCTTAACCTGCAAAGTCTGCAAGCAACTAGTGAAACGATGCTATTAAACCTACATCAATAGGTTGGAATATAAGCATTTGAAACAAACATTTATAATACACGTCACACTTCATTAAAATACTGCATTTCCAGGAAATTGAATATATGTATCACCTACAAATCAGGGCAACAATTTATACTTGTCTACTAGTTGTAAGCATTTACACCTGGATAATTTGCTCAACATTGAGAAAATGTACTTGAGATGCGAATGTTCACTGGGCCAAATTTAAAATCTTTAGATGCGTCCGTATAAGATTAGTGAGATAAGTGATCATCAGCAAATCTTTATAGCTTGAATTGATCAATTGCTCCAAATGATCAGGGTCTAATTTGGGGATTGAGAAAATTAACTGTGCTATAGACCTTCCGATTTTGGGGTCGGCTGGACATTTGTTATCGATAACATTTTCAACGTAACGAATGACCTGATCCAACATAGTGAGCAGATGTTGTGAAAGTTGATACAGATAGACCATGTCATCTCCAAGCTAAAAGTTTCGAATAGATCACAAAATTGTAATCCCGAAATGTCATCTATAACTGTTTATGGATAATATGAATAGGCTTTAAAAAAACCGACGTGAACAAGCAAATGTAATTAAACTAACCTTTTACTCGTTTCATGAGAGAGAAAAGTGAATCAAACACAGTCGAAGCGTTTTAACTCTTATCACGTCGAATGTAAAAACACTCATATATCTACGAGTTATACAGAAACACAACTCCAGAGGCATATATCATTAAACAAACTATAGATACTTTTCATATTTTTATTGACTAGAATCGATATTAATCAGTAGGCAATCAGTCAATCATACACAATATAGGACCTTTATGTGCATTGATTCACACTGCCATACCACAGCGAAGCGAGATGACATTATCAAGATAAATCCCAGAGAGCATGATTAATAACAGTATCAGCAGTAATTGGACGGCTCAGGTAGGAGCGTTCAGTTACCTGACAGACAACATATATTCATACCACCTCAGTCGGTGAAGATTCACTACCTTATCGACCAATTTCCCTTTACCAAACACAGCGTCTAACCTCCCCATTGGTCACTTGACACTTTCAATATATTTTAGATACTGTGTTAGTCAAACCGACTCCTCGGTGGTTATCACAAGAGCTTTTTCCATATCTTACAAACTGGGACGAGCAGCGATTAACATCCACCAGAAGGGCTTATGTTCAGTCCCCAGTCAATCCAGTTGCTAAGACTAAACTACTATCCCCAAAGATTTACAGGACTTACTTACTTACGCCTGTTACTCCTAATGGAGCATAGGCCGCTGACCAGCATTCTTCAACCCACTCTGTCCTGGGCCTTCTTTTCTAGTTCTATCCAATTCTTGTTCATTTTTCTCATGTCTATCTCCATTTGTCGGCGTAATGTGTTCTTTGGTCTTCCACTCCTCTTTTGGCCTTCAGGATTCCATGTGAGGGCTTGTCTTGTGACGCAGTTGGGTGATCTCCTCAATGTGTGTCCTACCCACTTCCAGTGCTTCTTCCTGATTTTTTCCTCCGCTGGGATCTGGTTTGTTCTCTCCCACAGTACGTTGTTGCTAATAGTGTCCGTCCAACGGATCTGAAGTATTTTGCGTAGACAACTGTTAATAAACACCTGTATTTTCTGGATGATCGCTTTCGTAGTTCTCCAGGTTTCTGCCCCATAGAGTAGAACTGTCTTGACATTTGTATTGAAAATCCTGACCTTGGTGTTGGTTGACAGTTGTTTTGAGTTCCAGATGTTCTCCAGTCGTAAATATGCTGATCTTGCTTTGCCGATCCGCGCCTTCACATCTGCATCAGATCTACCATGTTCATCAATGATTCCGCCCAGATATGTAAAGGTTTTTACATCTTCCAAACCTTCTCCGTCAATTGTGATTAGATTGGTGCATGCTGTGTTGTATCGGAGAACCTTGCTGTTCCCTTTGTGTATGTTGAGACCTACTACTGTTGAGGCTGCTGCTACACTGTTCGTCTTCTCCGGCATTTGTTGTTGCGTTTGGGATAGAAGGGCCAGATCATCTGCGAGGTCTGCACCGTCTAACTGCATCCTATCTATCCACTGTATCCCGTGTTTCCCTTCAGATGTTGACGTCTTCATGATCCAGTCGATCACAAGGAGAAAGAGAAAGGGTGAGAGTAAGCAACCTTGCCTGACACCGGTCTTTATTTCGAACGACTTTGTCAACTGTCCTCCATGCACGATTTTGCAGTTTAGTCCATCATAGGAATTCCGCATGATATTGACTATCTTCTGAGGCACGCTGTGGTGTCGAAGAAGCTTCCATAGTGTTGTCCTGTTTACGCTGTCAAATGCTTTTTCGTAGTCAATGAAGTTGATGTAGAGTGATGAATTCCATTCAATTGATTGTTCCACAATGATCCGTAGAGTTGCGATTTGGTCTGTACACGATCTATCCTCACGGAATCCTGCCTGTTGGTCACGAAGTTGGGCGTCTACGCAGTCCTTCATTCTGTTTAACAATACCTGTTGAAGTCTTTTCCCGGTATTGAGAGAAGAGTGATGCCCCTGTAGTTATCACAGTTGCTGAGGTCGCCTTTCTCCGGTATTTTGATCAGAAGTCCTTCTTTCCAGTCTTTTGGTACTTGTTCCTCATCCCAAATCTTATTGAAGAGAGTGTGGAGTATCCTTGCAGTTGCCGCTACGTCTGATTTCAGTGCCTCTGCTGGAGTGTTGTCCGGTCCTGCTGCTTTGCCACTCTTGTTTTGCCTGATGGCCATGCTGATTTCTTCAATTGTTGGTGGGTCAACATTGATTGGGAGGTCCGTGGGTGCTGCTTCGATATTGGGTGGGTTCAGTGGAGCTGGTCGATCAAGAGTTCTTTGAAGTGTTCTACCCACCTGTTTCGTTGTTGTCCAATGTTGGTGATTGATTACCTTGCCTTTCTTGCTTTTCACTGGTCGTTCTGGTTTGCGGCGATTTCCAGAGAGTTTCTTTCTTCTGTCATGCAGTCCTCTCATGTTTCCTTCTCTTGCACCCTTTTTCGCGGTCGTTGCTAAATCCTCCACATATTTACCTTTGTCGGTTCTGATGCTCCTCCTCACTTGTTTGTTTACTTCTGTGTATTCAGCTTGTGCCTTGGCTTTTTCTGCTCTTGTTCGACTGGTATTGATTGCTGCTTTCTTGTTCCTCCTTTCTTGAATCTTATCCAATGTATCAAAAGTAATCCATTTCTTGTAGTGGTGATTCTTGTGGCCCAGGACCTCATGACATGTTGAAGTGATTGCCTCTTTGATCCCCTTCCAGCTGCTCTCCATAGTAGTTCCTTCTCCATTGAGTAGATCATGAAAGGCCTGGAACTTATTGCTGAGTACTATCTTGAATTTATTGAGTTTGTCAGTGTCCTGAAGAAAGGCCGTATTGAACATTTGTGATGTTGTCCGCCCCATTGTCCAGTGCTTCTTGAGTTTCAATTTCATCTTGGAGACCAGCAAGTGATGATCTGATGCTATATCAACTCTTCTCTTGGTTCTTACTTCCTCTATAGTCCTCCTGAACGTTTTGTTGATGCAAATATGGTCGATTTGGTTTTGCGTGGTGTGATCCGGTGAAGTCCATGTGGCTTTGTGTATGCGTTTATGTGGGAATATGGTGCCGCCTATGGCCAGTTTATTGAAGGCACATAGGTTTGCAAATCTCTCACCATTTTCGTTCCTTTCTCCCAGTCCGTGTCGTCCCATGATGTCTTCATATCCAGTATTGTCCGTTTCAACCTTGACATTGAAATCTCCCATCAGAATGGTCAGGTCCTTTGTTGGGCACTTCTCGATGATTGACTGCAGCCTGTCATAGAATTGATCTTTAGCGTCTTCATTGTAATCGTTGGTAGGCGCATAGCACTGGATGATGTTCATTGAAATGCCATCTTTCTTTGTTTTGAAGGAGGCTTTGATGATCCTTGGTTCATGAGATTCCCATCCGATAAGTGCTTTTTGTGCTTGTTTGGACAGTATCAATGCAACTCCTTGTGTATGTGGAGCATTTTCTTCTTCGTGGCCGGAATATAACAGAAGGTCCCCTGAAGTTAGTCGTTGTTGTCCAACTTGCGTCCAATGTGTTTCACTTATCCCAAGCACCTCCAGGTTGTATCTTCTCATTTCTGCAGCGATTTGGAAGGTTTTCCCGGTGTCCCACATTGTACGAACATTCCATGTACCTAAATAAATGGTTGCTCTGGTTGTCAGAAGGGGCATCGGTTTCGTAACTTCCGAAGGAATTCGGCCTTCATCATGAGACGTCATAGTTCTTCTAAATGAAGACCTTCTGACTCCCGGGGCAGAGTTTAAAAGGTTTGAATAATTTTTTCTGGTTGGCATTTTTTAGCGAGTTAGTTTTTTACGGGATGGGGACGCTAACCCCATGCCCAACCCTCCTCCTTTATCCGGGCTTGGGACCGGCAGTAGCCCCCGGAGTGACTCCAGAACTATTCCACCCATGCCTGTTGCTTGTCTTTGCTTTAGGTTACTTGTAGCCTGGGCAACATCACTAAGATTTAGAGGACTTACATCAATAGCTCATTTAGGTTCTTTGAATGAAATGGCTTAGTGAAAGCCGACTGAACTGTTCCTCAAAT